CGACATTCTTCCTGTACCTCATGTACAGATCGAGCATATGCTGAAGGGGTAATATTATTATTACAGCGAGAGAGTATACTTGACATTCACTTGCCTTCGCCATGTCGCCAAGGTCATCGATCATCTCTTGACGAGAGGTCTGCACCCGGCAGTCGGCAACGTACTTCGCGGTCTCGGAGTCTACGTTCGCTACGAGAGAAGTGAAGGACGGCTTCCCCTCCGCATGAGCAGCAGGGTGAATCACGTCCGCCTGTGGTATAAGATGATCAGTATATATAGGGCGAACAACGGCAGGCTATCGACACTCACTCCCATGACGATTGTGGGGTTGTGAGGGTCAAAGAGTGCGGGGGTAGAGTCGGCGGTAGGGACCGTGTTGATGCCGCCGAGCTTCACGTTAATCCTGTGAATATAATCAGAGATGGCTCTTAATGGGGTGTAGAGGCTGACGTACTTGAGACAGACGTTGGCAAAGTATTGCTGCTTTGCGCGGCCACATTTGATGGCTTTCAAGCACTGGGTCGCCACGCCCGCCTGCAGAGGAGTCCATGAAAATCACCAACCTCACAAAAAGGCTCAAATACATACCGAAACATCGCCAAAACTGTGACAATGATTTAGTGCTTAGACTCAACTGTATTCATGATATACAAGAACTACTTACTGTTTGATGGCAGTATAGATATCCGTAGCACCCTCAGGAAGGACAGCCACGATGAGCTTGGGAAAGCCTTTGTTCTTCTGATTACATGCCGAGCCCGCAGCCCTCAATTGCTTCTCCGGCATTAGCTCTATGCCAGAAACGAATAATGCAAGGACCTACGTCACTGATTCTGCCCTGCGCATTTTCCCACCGAATGATAGGATCCTTCTCGAGGACAGTGATGCCTGAGATGCAGATATCGTCATGCACCGTTTGGTTGCGATGATGATAAAGAACTCACCGACTGCTTGGCAAGCCTCTAATAGGCCTCTTACCATGTCGTCCGCACTATCCTGACGGAACCTATTCGGGCGCTCGTAGACGACGACGACCCATCGTTCAATGATCACCGGCTTGTACAACTTCTTGTCAATCCTTCAAACAACGTCAATATAGGCGTCGCAGGATGAGCCGAATCGTTACTTACATATTCCATGCGCCATCTCGGGGAACCTAGGACTTAGCGATTAAAGGGGAGTCATCAGGTCCAACATAGTGTACTTACAATGGAAGGTTGTTTGCTTCCTTTCCCGTACATGAGTTTGGGCGGGTTGAGGACGCGAGCGTTGATAGATAAAGGCGCGGTGCCCGCCTCCCTCAAAGCTATACCGAATTGCTACGAGACAATGTGAGCACGACCCCAGCAATTCCCCTAATTATGGCCACTTACTCGGACATACTCCGACTGACCGTGGGCTAGAACCCCCAGTCCATTGCGAATACTGTTGAGCCGTTCGTCAGGTCGTTTCGTGGCAAACTCCAGAACGTCCTTAGTTTTCTCCGGCGGAACCTGCTTGCGCATGATCTGGCCAGAAAGAACATTGCAGACTTCAATGGGGTATAAAGCGCCATTGCCGACCTACGGAAGAGGATTGGTGGATTCACGTGTGACGGATAGACTTGCACTCACCTCGACGCAAAGGATTTGTGGGAACCGGATCGTAATATTATATGCTTGTTGGAAATACGCGGCGACACTGATCACCTGTCCTTCTCGATTTGTGAACGTCAAGGAACTAGCTGCCGCAGTCGATAATCGCTTGACAACGCGAGGTATGCGCCGCTGCTGCTGACTTTGGGCAGGAGTCGTGACTCGGACACCCGCTAAGAAACGTTGCAAGCGCAAACGTTCCTTTTCTGGGAATCCCCGACTGGGGGCGAGAATATTGGGATCAGTTCGTCCAAAGAACCCAAGGCAGAGATCAAGTAGTGGCCCAGCCTTGTACATGGTCCCCGTAGAGATGTCGATGTTGATGAGCATCTTTCCTATCGCAGGTCGGACGCTCTGGAAGTAGCCTCGCCACAGTACGATGCCTGCACCAATATCCTTTTGCTCGCGGTCGGTGAAGAACGAACGCACGTTGAAAGGATAATGCGTTGTTGGCTCCATTCGAACCACAACATTCAAAGCCTAATCAGAGGGTCATGATACTGCGACATCAGAACAAAGAGCAGAAGTGCATACAGTGATCGCCGTGAGAACAGTGTTGTCTTGGGACTGTTTCCCCTGCAGGAAACGATCCAGCACTCTATTCCATGTAAGTATATGCGCAGCGAACATTGGAAAGTTGCGTACTCTGGGTTGATCTCCGCGACTTTCGTGAGCTTGATTCTGTATACCTTCGGTCCCTTTTTCCCGGGCCCAGGACCGGGTGAGTCAGGAGGAGGGCTGTCGCCGAGCGACACAGAAAACTGATAGCACGTATTTATTAGTTGTGCCCGCTCGTACGAACGCATCAGACATACCGTGCGGGTATCGTTCTCGAACGGGTAATGGCACATCGAGAACATATTCTTCCGACCGTCGTAAACACCGCGCGGAGTGAACACTTCCGGGTGCACGATTTCTTGGAGCTTTCGAATCAGCTCCATGTTCATCTTCGCGGGGAGAGTCTGCTCCGATGGGGTAATGGCTAAAGCGATGTGAGTAGCGAGCAAGCACGCCGCCGATCATGACTTACCAACTGTGGTAGGCAGGATTGTCAGTATATACGACTCAATGGACAGACGAGCAGGACTCACCGTCGTAGTGATAGATGATACCCGAAGGGATATCTATCTCGTAATGGTTCGTGAATACGGATACCTGGCGACCTGCAGTTCCGAACGCGAGACGCTTCACGCCGACGGTGGTTACATGCTCTCCTGTAGATGGCAGGCCGCCACCACCTACAGACACAGGGCCTCCTCGACCACCGCGTGCTGGGCCACCGCCGCCCCTGGAAGGGGTGCCACGAACGCCTCTGCCGGCGCCGCCTCTGCCTCGACCAGCCATTGTGTTAGAGATGAAGAAGTACTAGTGAAAGATGTATGGGACGGGGGGAAAGGAAGAAGTGTAGAAGGTCAGGCGCGACGGGGTCTTTTATATTTTGGCAGACAAAGAATGCGAGGGCGTGACGTGCCCAGATCGATGGGAGAAGCGTGTAATATGGGTGGGGATAAGAGCCTCTGCACGCCTCGTCTGCGGTGGCCACCAGACACAATATGCAAGCGCGTACGACTGGTCGTACAAACTTGGTCCTCGCGGCCGTCGCAGACAACGAGTGCGAGGTGGGCAGTCAAACCTGGTCAATCGCTCTTTTGTGCGCAAGACAAATACGCTCGGAGAATTGGCAACTTTATACAAGGACCTGCAGAGGGACATCATCCATTGCCGGATTAGGCACCGTTGTCTTCTGTTTGGCCGCTTCAACAGCGTCGCGTCACAGGCAACCATTTGCCACTGCGCTATCCAAGCGATATCTGCAACAATCCCTCGCTATATTCTCCGCTGTGCATGCATGTGCTCCTCAGTGGCGGGGGATGCGCAGTGCAATGCCGCTTCATCAACGGAAATGAAACACCGGAGTATCTGATCGATTGAATGGTATGTACTTGGGCCTGAGCCACGCTAGCAGGAGAGGCTCGTGACAATGTGCCATTGCTACTGTCGCATCGCTGATAAAACAGGTCCGAGGAGGTTCGGTGTGTAGCAACGAATTGCAAGCGTACTGAAACCACGACCTTGTTCGAACTACGGTGTGCAAGAATGGCTCTTCCTTTCCAACTACTACGAGCATATCTCCCCCGTCTTTTCTCGCCAATGCCAGTGTTGTGTTTGAAAGCTCACTCTGTCATACAGTACGTCGTGCTTATCGTGATATCCGCAATGGCGTTTCAATACCTCGCAACTGGATGAGGTTGAGTCTACTAAATTCAAACAGTATCAACCCGGCGGTCAGCACCCCATTGTGATCGGCGACACCTTCCGCAATGGACGGTATATAATCTGACGTATAATCATGCACAAGCTTGGGCTTGGTGGTTCATCCACTTTTTAGCTCGCTCGTGTCGAAGAGAGCCAGTCGAGCAAGCTAGTGATATTGAAAGCTCTGCGAGCGGAGGTATCCTGAGCTGTCAGATGCATATCCTGACGTGCTTTTCCCAAAGACACTCCAATTCGCCTTACGAGATGAATGCGTAAGAGGCTGCCAGCCTATTCCGCTTAGTCGAGAGTAATTTTGATGTGGACCATCCACCATGGCAAGTACACATTGCACTGCTTGCTGATCCAAACATTCTCGCGATATACCAGCCTCCTGGTAGAGTAGCTAGCAGCTTCTGTCAGACCTGGGGGCATGTGTTGCCAGGTTGCATGGGCCATAAGTATCCTGTGTGCATGCAATAGGCCTGGTTCATGGCGGTCTGTTTGCGGTCTCGTTTCTCGCCCGTCGCATTGCCTCATTTTCGCATTATTGAAAATCTTGCGACGACAAACATCTTTCCACTGGTCAGACTCGATCTGCCCTTCGTCTAATGACCATGAATACGCCAGACTGGAACACCCGAACCGGAGGGTGTACGGGGATGTACCAGAACGTCACGTACCTTTACAGACTGATCCTGAGGCACGAAGGTTGAAGTCGGTCTACTCTGCCGCTGGGAGACTACGTACCTTCAGAGCTTGTCGAGAACTCCATAATCAGTCAAGCATCGCTCCTCCTCGACGAGCGCGCCGTTCCCATCAACTTCGAACAGTCTTGTCACTGCGCGTCCGCTGCATAATGTGCCAGGCACACGCATTGAAATCTTTAGATGTCATTGACCCGCTACAAAGGTCCTGTCTGACTCTGACGCGTAATAGGCATCCGGTTAGAGGAAAGATGTGCCTCGTACAACGACGAGGCGGACTCAGAATCTAGTTGCCTGTCCCGAGTATATTTCAGAGTCTGCGTAGAGGGAAAAAGTGCGATGACGTGAGGCCCTGCCAGGACTTGAACTTGGCTAACGGCGTAGATGGGAAAAAGGAAAGGACTTAAGGCCCTGCCAGGACTCGAACCTGGGTCGGCGGAAATTACTACAAGAATCAGAATCCGCAGTGATAACCACTACACTACAGGGCCTTACTACAATATGCTCAATTAAATTATATAACCTGACATTGACAGAATGAGTCATTGAGGGAAAGTACAGTAGATTTTCAATGAATCCGATCGCGATTCGTCCTCAAACTTCTCCCCAATGTCGGTCATTCTCCCTCTCGTTGACATAGGCGACGACGAGGATCTACTCAACGCCTTCGCTCGCATTGGACCGGTCGTCGTCCAGGGCGCCCCCGATTCACTTCCCGCGAAACTAGATGTTAGCCGATACCTTCTCCTCGATCACACTGCATCTCTCAATTTAGACCAAATCATCCAATGGCTTGACTCTGGAGTCGAGAAGGTCATCATACCTCTTTCATGGGCGAAGGAGATAGTTGGTGTCGTTCCCTCTGAGCGACTTATTCTCCTCGTGGATGTCTCGAACGTTACTACAGTATCCGATACCATTCGCAATGGTGTCTCTGGCGTTCTGATCAAAACCCCTTCCTTGGAGGCCGATTTCATTGAATCAGTTACCCGCTTCTTCTCCGCCAATGGAGCTACAGTGTACGTGTTGCCGACTCCCGCTGACCGTGCACCTTCAGTGTCTACGATTCGTGCACTGCGTCGTGCGGGAACCACTCTCGTCCTACCATCATCTCTACTCACCCTCTCCTCCTCAACCGAGACCCAAATTAACATCGGTGATGCATTCGTTGCACCCCTAGTGTCCGATAGACCAGACGGTCTATTCCCTACGGTAGTGACAGAGAACGGACATTCGTTAGGACTGGTATACTCGTCGACAGAATCCGTCAAGGAGAGTATCATCACCGGAAAGGGCGTGTACCAATCTCGCAAGCATGGTCTGTGGAGAAAGGGGGAAACCTCTGGTGCAACGCAACAGGTTATACGTATTCGTGCTGACTGCGACTTCGACGCACTCGAATTCAGCGTCGCCCAACAGGGTGCAGGATTCTGTCACTTGAACAGGCCGTCGTGCTTCGGCGAAATGAAGGGGCTGTACACTCTGCAACGCACACTACAGTCCCGACTTCAGTCAGCTCCCGAGGGATCCTACACGAAGCGGCTATTCAGCGATCCTCAGCTCCTACGTGCCAAAATCATGGAGGAAGCCGAGGAGCTCTGTGATGCACAGAAACCGGAGGATGTCGCTTTCGAGGCAGCAGATTTGATTTACTTTGCACTGACGAAATGCATATCTGCTGGCGTCACCATCGCTGACATCGAGCGGTCCCTGGACAGGAAAGCCCAGAAGGTTACGCGGCGGAAAGGAGACGCGAAAGAAAAGTGGGTGCAGAAAGCATCAAGCTCGTCCCAACCTTCTACATCCCAGACACAGCCTGCTCCCCCTCAGCCTGGAGATGGTCTTATACGAATGCGCACACAAGACCTCACTACCGCTACCCCAGAACAACGCGCGCAGCTTCTGCGTCGTCCAGTACTCAGGTCGGACGAAATGATCGCAAAAGTGAAGCCGATAGTAGACGACGTCCGCGTTCGTGGCGACGCCGCTTTGCTGGAGCTCACGGCCAAGTTCGACAAGGCAAAACTTGACTCTACAGTTGTCTTCCCTCCCTTTGCCCCGGAGACCATGCAATTGGAAGATTCAATTAGGAAGGCTATAGACGTTGCGTACGACAATGTGCGAAAATTCCACGCCGCACAGGCGGAAGGAAGTACTCTCGTCGTCGAAACGATGCCTGGCGTCGTTTGTTCGCGGTTCTCTCGTCCGATAGCACGTGTCGGCCTCTACGTTCCGGGAGGCACCGCAATTCTCCCATCTACGGCACTCATGTTGGGAGTTCCCGCACAAGTGGCAGGTTGCAAGGAAATTGTCATTGCCACTCCACCTCGACCCGATGGCAGCATTTCGCCGGAGGTCATGTACGTAGCTCATCTGGTTGGTGCCTCTGCGATTCTCAAAGCCGGTGGAGCGCAAGCAGTGGCTGCTTTAGCATATGGTACTCAGACAGTTCCGAAAGTCGATAAGATCTTCGGACCCGGGAACCAGTGGGTTACTGCGGCGAAGATGCTGGTACAGAATGACACGGATGCTTTGGTCTCCATCGATATGCCTGCAGGACCATCTGAAGTATTGGTAAGTATAGACTTTGATCAACCTTGAATGAAAGGAACTGAAAGAACTCTTTCTTCATCAGGTCATCGCTGATTCCACGTGTAACCCAGCCTTTGTCGCAGCTGATCTCCTCTCACAAGCAGAGCACGGCGTAGATTCCCAAGTCGTACTAGTCACAGTTAATCTCTCCCAAGAAGTGATTGATGCAATTGAGCAAGAGGTCGACGCGCAAGCTCGTGCCTTGCCTCGCGTTGATATCATTCGTCAATCGATTCCCAAGAGCTTGATCGTGAAGACGTCATCCGTCGAAGAAGCTATCGACTTCTCAAACGACTATGCGCCTGAACATTTGATCCTTCATCTCAAGGATGCCAGTACGCGCGTACCCCTCGTTCAAAATGCCGGAAGTGTCTTTGTTGGGCCTTACTCTCCTGAAAGGTGATCATCTCATTTCTACTTCACCTCCGCACGGACTCCCGACTGATGCTTCTGTGAATTTACAGCTGCGGTGACTACGCTTCGGGCACTAATCACACTTTGCCTACGAATGGATATGCTCGGCAGTTCAGTGGAGTCAACACCCAGTCTTTCCAGAAGCACATTACGTCTCAGGAAGTTACCGCAGAGGGTCTCAAGGGGCTGGGTCCCGTCGTAGCCACTCTTGCAGATTGCGAAGGGTTGGGAGCTCATGCCAACGCAGTGCGTATCAGACTGCAAGCTATGGCGTAGCTGTCGTTGGAGGCGCATCCCGCGCAGGAAGCAGAAAAAGGAAGATGTACAACCAAAAGCAATGACCGATGTCAAAAACATATAGACTAGCTGTATCTTTACCTTTCGATATATATTTACATAGTTCACGCCGAAACAATGGACTAGCATGAGATCCCCTAGGATATATTAGAAAGTCTATGGCTGCCTACATGCCTGCGATATACAGACAAACGCAAATAGTATCGTAATGAGTCTAGCGGAACAGGTACTCATACCAACCAAACAAAAAGATCCAAAGCAGGTACCCCCTTAGTTGGTCCTGTAAAGTGCACGCTTGGCGACCTTGACAATGACGGGGGTATCGGGGAAGGCAAGGGCCTCAAGGTTAGCAGCGTACTGAGGCTACGGGTGAGTATCTTTCCATCTCGTGCAAAAAAAGTGATTACTCACAGGTGTAGGGACATCAGCACCGGTGATGCGCTCAACAGGTGCATCGAGGTAGTCAAACGCCTCGCTCTCAACAATCTGTGCAGAGATCTCGCTTCCAACACCGAAAGCGGGGAAGCCACCCTCAACGACGACGAGTCTGAAGCCAAATTCAGTGCATGCTTAAAGGAAGGGAAGACGCATACGGACCGGTTAGTCTTCTTCACCGACTTGATGATGGTCTCAATGTCAAGAGGGCGGATGCTGCGAAGGTTGATAACTTCAGCCTTGATACCCTCCTTCGCGAGCTCCTCAGCAGCCTCCAAACTGTGAGTGACCATCTTGCTGTGCGCAACCAGCGTGACGTCACTTCCTTCCCGCTCGACCTTGGCTTTACCAATGGGCAGAAGGAAGTTGTCCGACATGGCTTCTTGCGACATAGGGAAGGAGACACCGTAAAGCATCTCGTTCTCGAGGAAGACAACGGGGTTGGGGTCACGGATTGCGGACTAACACAAGGTAAGGGAATTGACATTAAAGAGAGACTAAAAATCGAACCTTGAGGAGACCCTTGCAGTCCTCCGCACTCCAGGGGGACACGACCTTCAGGCCGGGAACCTGCCCGTACCAACCAGCATAGTCTTGTGAGTGCTGAGCAGCAACACCAGCTGCGGCACCGTTGGGACCACGGAAAACCACGGGACATGGGACGTTACCGCCGGACATGTAATATGTCTTGCCGGCAGAGTTGACAATCTGATCGATGGCTTGCATGGCAAAGTTGAAGGTCATGAACTCGCAACTACATTGGGTTAGCGCACGGGGAAGGATTGTACGGAAAGTGTCGATGACATACATTGGCCTGAGACCAGCAAGTGCTGCACCGACGGCGACACCAGCAAAACCCATTTCTGTGATCGGCGTGTCTACGACTCGCTTCTCACCGAACTTGTCCAAAAGACCTTTTGTGACCTGTAGTATGATCGGTCAATGCCATGTACATTTTGACAGCAAGTGCTTGGCAGACCTTGTAGGCACCATTGTACCGTGCTACTTCCTCTCCGAGAATGAAGACAGTCTCATCACGAAGCATCTCCTCTTCCATAGCGGTATTTAGGGCCTCACGGACGGTCATCTGGGCAGGAACGTCATGAGAGCAGAACTCGGAAGAGACACGGGAGACATACCGAGTGCTCACTCTGTGTCGCATATCCGCGAGCGAGGGCGGCGCGACGAGCAGCTAACGAGCGAGCAGCACGCGCATGGGAGATGGCGGGGGCTATGCGAGAGAAAGCAGCACGGGCAGCCATAGGTTTTGAGGGAGGAGGAGGAGGGCAAGCAAGGATGTCGAAAGACTTTTGGCGTGTGCTGGCTTGCCCGTTGGGGATCGCCAGATGTGTCGCTTCGGACAAACGCGCGAAAACTCATCCCGGCCTCCTCCGCGTCATTATATTGAACGCCGTCCATTGTCGGACGACAGACGTAGAATAACGTTCTGTAACACCGCAAATCCATCATTTCCTCTCGCCATGGCTCGCAAACCCGTCGTCGTCGTCACCGGTGCTTCCAAGTGCATTATGCTCCCCCTGCTCGGCTGCCGTCCGCCTGCTGACCCACATATCTAGAGGGATCGGTCTTGCAGTCACCCGTCTCCTGTTGACCGAGTTCGAGGCTATTGTCGTTGCTTTGTCGCGTACACGTTCTCCAGAGCTGCTCGAGCTGCGCGCATCTCACTCTTCCGCGCTTCTGTCAGTTGAATGCGATGTGTTAGTCTTTGATCCAATGTTCTGTCTCGGAGCAT